TATTTTGACAGTTTCTTTACCTATTTGTATTCCTTTTATTTCTTCTTCTTGTCTAATTGCTCTGGCAATTGCTATGTTGAATAGGTGTGGGGATAATGGGCACCCTTGTCTCATTCCTGATTTTAGAGGGAATGGTTTCAGTTTTTCACTGTTAAGTATGATGTTGGCTGTAGGTTTGTCATATATAGCCTTTACAATGTTGAGGTACATTCCTTCTATTCCTAGTTTTCTTAGAGCTTTTATCATGAAGTGGTGTTGGATCTTGTTGAAGGCTTTTTCTGCATCTATTGAGATGATCAAGTGGTTTTTTCTTTGCTTCTATTAATGTGCTGTATTACATTTATTGATTTGCATATGTTGAACCACCCCTGCATTCCTGGGATGAAGCCAACTTGGTCATGGTGAATGATCTTTCTGATGTGTTGTTGATTTGGTTTGCCATTATTTTATTGAGGATTTTTGCATCGATGTTCATTAAGGAGATTGGCCTATAGTTCTCCTTTTTGGAGGTGTCTTTGTCTGGTTTTGGGATGAGTGTAATACTGGCTTCATAAAATGTTTAGGCAGTTTTCCTTCCCTTTCTATTTCATGGAACAGTTTAAGGAGGTTGGTATTAGTTCTTCTTTAAAGGTCTGATAGAATTCAGCAGAGAATCCATCAGGTCCTGGACTTTTCTTTTTTGGAGACTCTTGATTGCTGCTTCAATTTCATTTTGTGTTATAGATCTATTCAGGTGATTAATATCCTCTTGGTTCAATTTTGGATGGTCATAAGTATCTAGAAATCTGTCCATTTCTTCAAGATTTTCAAATTTATTAGAATATAGGTTCTCAAAGTAGTCTCTGATGATTTCCTGGATTTCTTGGTGTTTGTTGTTATCTCCCCTTTTGCATTTCTGATTTTACTGATTTGGGTTTTTTCTCTCCTCATTTTAGTCAGGTTTGCCAGGGTCTGTCAATCTTGTTTATTTTTTCAAAGAACCAACTTTTTGTTTCATTGATTCTTTGTATTTTTTTTTGTTTGTTTCTATTTCATTGATTTCAGCCTATTTTTTTATTATTTCTCTCCTGCTTGTTTTGGGATTTGCTTGTTCTTGTTTTTCTAGGAGTTTGAGATGTAGCATTAGGTCATTGATTTGAGATCTTTCTGTCCTTTTAATATATGCACTCATGGCTATAAACTTTCCTCTTAGGACTGCCTTTGCTGTGTCCCATAGGTTCTAGGTGTGTTTTCATTTTCATTAACTTCCAGGAACCTTTTAATTTCCTCTTTTATTTCATCAATGACCCATTGATCATTGAGCAATGTGTTGTTCAGCTTCCAATTGTTTGCATTTTTTACTGTTTTTTGTTGTTGAGTTCTAGTTTTAATGCATTGTGATCAGATAGAATGCATGGGATTATTTCTATTTTCTTATATTTGCTGAGGCTTGCTTTGTGCCCTAAGATATGATCAATTTTGGAGAAGGTTCCATGGCTGCTGAGAAGAATGTATATTGTGTAGAAGTTGGATGAAATATTCTGTAGACATCAGCTAGGTCCATTTGATCTATGATATGATTAAGATCCAGGATTTCTTTATTGATTTTTTTTGTTTGGATGACCTATCTATTGGTGATAGGGGGTATTAAAGTCTCCCACTACCACTGTGTTGGAGTTTATATATGTTTTTAGGTCCTTCAGAGTATGTTTGATGAAATTGGGTGCATTGACATTGGGTGCATATAGGTTGATAATTGTTATTTCCTTTTGGTGTATTTCCCCTTTTATTAGTATGGAGTGTCCTTCTTTATCTCATTTGATCAATGTAGATTTGAAGTCTACTTTGTCCGTGATAAGTATTGCTACTCCTGCCTGTTTTCGGGGACCATTGGCTTGGTAAATCTTCTTGCAGCCTTTCATCGTAAGCCTGTGCTTGTTTTGTTGAGATGGGTCTCCTATAAGCAACACATTGTTGGATCTTTCTTTTTAATCCAGTTTGTCAAATGGTGTCTTTTGATGGGGGAATTAAGTCCGTTAACATTCAGTTTTAGTTTTGGTAGGTATGTGGTGATTCCTGTCATTGTAGTTGTCTTTGTTGTTTAAGTGTTTGATTGTGTGCAGCTGAATCAGTGTTACTCTCTATTTTCTTGCCTTTTCTTCTCCTTTGGTTTAGGACTGCCCGCCCTTTCATGGTTTTGTTTGCTTTCACTTTCTGTGTGCAGAATTCCTTGAAGAATTTTTTGTATTGGTGGCTTGGTGATTATATATTGTTTTAGTTTCTGCTTATCATGGAAGACTTTTATTGCTCCATCTATTTTGAATGATAGTTTTGCTGGGTAGAGTATCCTAGTGTTGAAGTTGTTTTCATTCAGTGCCCAGAAGACCTCACTCCATGCTCTTGTTGCTTTTAAGGTTTCCTTTGAGAAATCTGCTGTGATTTTGATGGGTGTACCTTTGTATGTTATTTTTTTTTTCTCCCTTACAGCCTTCAATATTCTTTATTCTCTGTGCTTGCTGTTTTAATGATAATATGTCGTGGTGTAGTTCTATTTTGGTCAAGTCTGTTTGGTGTCCTGGAGGCTTCCTGTACCTGAATGGGCATAGTTTTCTCTAGATTTGGGAAAATTTCTGTTATTCTTTTGTTGAATATATTACGAATTCCTTTTGCTTGTACCTCTTCTCCTTCTTCAATGCCCACAATTCTCATGTTTGGTCTTTTGATGGAGTTGGTGAGTTCTTGCATATTTCTTTCACAGGTCTTGAGTTGTCTGACTAATAGTTCTTCAGTTTTTCCTTTAATTTCCATTTCATCTTCAAGTTCTGAGATTCTGTCTTCTGCTTGTTCTAGTCTGCTGGAGTGGCCTTCCATTTTGTTTTGTATTTCTGTTTCATTCTTTTTTCTGAGGTTTTCCATATCATGGGTCACTTCCTCTTTAATATTGTCAATTTTCATCCTTAGTTTATTTATCTATTTATGGTGTTCTTTGTTTCACTTTGGTGTTTATTTAGGGCTCCTATGATTTCATTTATTTGTTTTTGTGTTTTCTCATATTCTTTATTTTTGTTGTCTTGGAATTTCTTGAGTGCCTCCTGTACATTTTGGTTGACCATGTCTAGTATCATCTCTATGAAATTCTCATTGATTACTTGTAGGATTTCTTCTTTCAGTGTGTTCTTGTGGGCTTCGTTGGGTTCCTTGGTATTGTTTCTCTTTGTTTTGTTAGAGTCTGAATCTGGGTATCCGTTTTCTTCATTTTCCCTCTGGTTCCTGTGCTAATTTATTATTGGGGGTAAAATGGTTTCCATCCTTTTTCTGTCTTCCCATCATTCCACTTGGTGCTGTTACTGTCCCTGTACTGTTGGTCTACCTCTCCCAGGCAGGTTAGGAGCCAGCGTTTGGCAGCACAGGAGCCCTGCTGCTTTCTCAGTGTAACATGGGGTGGAGAAGCTATGTGTGGGCTGAGGGTTCGGGGTGTCAGAGTTTTGCTTCTTCTTGGTGGTTTTTCCTGCCAAGTGTGGCTCCAGAGTCTCAGCAAGATTTTTGCTTTATGGAGCTCACACTATCTGCTTCTTCCCTCTAGTCGCCATCTTGGATCTTCTCCTAATTATTTTTCAAATGGGGTCTTGCATTTTTGCCTGGGAAGGCCCAGGTCAGCCTGGACTGCAATCCTATTTATGTATGCCTACTGTGGAGCTGTGATGACAGGTGTGCACCACCATTCCCACCTTATTGGTTGAGATAGGGTCTTGTTAACTTTTTTTTTTTTTGGTCTGGGTTGGCCTTGAACAATGATCCTTCTGATCTCTACCTCCTGAGTAGCTGGGATGACAGGTGTGAGCAGTAGGTTGATAGCTGAAAATCAGTTGGATGTGGTTAATAAGGGAGAGGGAAATGTTTTGCTCAGATATGTCCCAGGTCACCTTATCCAGCCGCCTTAGTTCTCAGTTGAGATTAAGGTTAAGTAGCTTGCCTTCAGAGGGTTTAAGTGACCAAGTCTGTAAGTTGAGAACCTAATGCCCTTGTCCCCAGGCTCTATCATGCTGTTCCATGGTTGTAATGATATTGGGTAGAAAGATAACAACTGCCAACATGTGATTTTGGTTGACAAAGGAATTTTGAGCATGAATCCAATTCTTATCATTGTTGATATTTTTGATCTGTTTATATCCTGTATCAATCACTACACCCAAACATAGCTTTGAAGACTAAGGAAGTCTAACAGAACTATTAGAACCTGGCATCTTCTGTGCTTGTTTATTTTTTCTCTGCCTCACATATTCCAGATGAAAGGGCCTTTGAACAGTGAAAGATGAAATCACCCAGCATCTAGCAGGCATGGCCTTAGATGAGAAATAATGAAAATAGTATACTTTTTCTTCTTTTCCTTCAGGATAATGTGACACAGACTTCCTTGGGTGAAGAAGGGGAGTTGCTGAGAGCTGACTGATTGATTGACTCAGTTTTATTCTTCATTACTCATTTGAGTTACATTTCTTGAGCACTTTCCATGCACTAGACACAGGGGCACAAAGCTAGGTGCTGAGGATGCAAATTCAATTAAGGCAGAATCTCTGTACTCAAAAGGTCCATTTCTACATGGAGACAGATAGTAAAACTACTTTCATTAACAGGAGACACGTTTATGTCTAAAATGTTGTCGATTCTGTCTGGGATGTCAGGAAAGACTTTCCAGAGGCATTGTGAAGGTGGAACTTGAGGATGAGGAGGAAGTCAATAGTTGATGTGGGCAGGGAAGGGAAGTGCTCAGCATGAGCAAATGCCAAGAGCTGGTGAGTACTTGGTGCCTCCTGGGAACAGATCTGGATGATGCACCCTAAGCACTGTTTAGGGTGGGGGAAGCGTGTGGAATTGAGGCTGTAAGAGTCAGCAGGGGGCTGAAGTGAGGGCCTTCCTGGCATGCCCAGGTGCTCCAACTTCATTCTGGAAAGGAAAGCCATTAAAGAAAAACTTGGTCACTAGCCGATCTTAGCTTTATCTCGTCTTTCCTCCTTGAATAGGAATGTTTGTGCCGACACAGAGAACAGAAGGCATCTCAACATCAGATATCATCACCAGAATTGTCCGTGACTATGATGTTTATGCCCGACGCAACCTCCAGAGAGGGTACACGGCCAAGGAACTGAATGTCAGCTTCATAAATGTAAGTGTGCCACTCCACACCCTCTGAGGATCACCAATGTCACACCACCCTTACCACCACCTCTGCCATTTACTGGGCACTTACTCTGTGCCACACAGTGTTCTTAGTGCTTTGCATTTATCATCCCATTTAATCCACACAAAAAACACAATAATTCATTTTTATCCCCATTGTACAGTTGAGGAAGCCAATGTCCAAAAGGGTAACCTAGCTAACCAAGGAACATAGGTAGTGAGTGTCACATTTTGCTGTTTTTTTTTTTTTTTGGCAAGACAGGGATTTGAACTCAGGGCTTTGTGCTTGCAAAGCAGGCACTCTACTGCTTTAGCCACATCTTCAGTCCATTTTACTCTAGTTATTTTGGAGATGGGAGTTTCATGAGCTATTTGTCTGGGCTGGCTTTGAACTATGCTCTTCCCAGTCTCAGCCTCCCAAGTAGCCAGGATTACAGGGTGAGCCATGGGCACCCAGCTGAGCTTCACATTTTACAAAGGAGCAACCTTACTTCCTTCTTTAGTTTTCAGATGGGGGTGGGGAATGAAGAGTTTCTGGGAATTTTGTCCCTTGTGAAAGGCAGGAGTTATCTTCCACTCAAAGAGAAGAAAGAAAGTAGAGGCAATGAAATGCTAAACCCAGAGAAAATGCTTTCCTGTTTTAACATTTAAAAGTTTTCATTTTATTAAGGCTTTACAGATGCTCATTAGGAAGCTTAACAGCTGTTTTTTATTGTCCAGAGAAATTACAGCTGCTTCAATAAAGCCAAGTCTTTGACTTCCTTTTGTATTTCTACCTTATTGTTCCCACAGAACTGCTGTTAGTTTAATAATAGAGAACTGTTAAAACAATCTTTAAAGCAAGCAAAACAAGCTGTTACAAAGCAAAGAGGGCAGCCCAGTGGCTGGAGGTGATGGTAGTGAATCCAGACAATTGAATTCGCTGGACCTCCGAAGAGTAATAGCTTTGATTAAAATAAGAACTCTGTGTTCATACAGAATTCCAAACCCCCCAAATAGATACTGTAGTCTCAAAAGGTGACTTGTACATAAAACTAGGTACTTATAATTATGTATGGCCATAATTATCCAGCATCCTACACAACCGACCATTGGTACCTTCAAAATAAGGTGGATTCACTATCTATAAATATGTGATTACTAATTGTCCTCAAGAGCAGGCAGTGTTGGGAGTCCAGGCCCTCTGGCTTCATACAAGCCGGGCAACAAAATGGAAAATGCCAGGTTCGAGTGGCACCAGGACAAGTGGCTGAAAAGAATTCAGTCAAAGTGATTATTTGGTGTCTTATAGAGAATAAAGCCCTGGTTATTTCAATAAATTAAACTGTCTGTTCTTTTAAATTGAATTCAGTCAACCATCTAAACATGGCAAGCCATTTCCAAAAGTTATTGCTCACTCTCTTTAAACGGTAGCTAAAGCCACTTAGCCCAAGGAACCATGCAGATAGCGGGGATGGGCTTGCTTCTTTTCTGTGACAACAAACCTGGCTGCAGCTCAGAGGGGAAGTTGAATGTGTCGGATGGGTGTATAGATGAATCACAAGACCTCAGAAGTGGCAGGTATCTGACAGCAGCCAGACACCCCATCCAAGTTCCTGGACATAGAGATGAGGAAAGCTGAGCCCAGAGAGGGGACCTGGCCAAGGTCCCTTGAGTAAGGGAGAGGTAGAGGCAGCAGCGGCCTCCCAGCCTCATGACATCCAACCCAGGGCTCAATCTATTTTGAGCTGTATACAATCACCACTGCTAGTACAGAAGGAACTACAGGAAAGAAGGCATAAAGACAGTAGCTAACACTTATTGAGAGCTTATCATGTACCAATTAAGTGTTTTACCTGGATTATCTCATTTAATCCTCATGAGAAGCCTACAAGGCTGGTTATAATGACCATAGCCAACAACATAGAGGTGAGGAAACGAGAGGTTGAACGACTCACCTAAGGCTACACAGTGAATCATGGAAGACAGTGATTTCCCATAACAGATATGTGTGTATATATAGCTGAGTGGTAACACACACAGCTTAGCTGCAATAAGGTTTGGAAGTGTAAATCAGGAATTCTTGGCCAGTTTTCCAATATTCAAGGTGTTCCAGAAAATTCAAAAATACAAAACGAACTCGAGTCCCACACAGTAAAGAAGAACAATGTGTCTCATGACTCCTTTAGGAGAAAAAAATCATGATTTCATAGAGGAAGACTCTTTTTCTCATGTTACTTTTCATTGTTTTGATATCATGTAGCAGGTAACACAGATAAATGCCGATGTCACTTAATATCAGCAACAGCCAACACATGTTGAACAATTACTAAGTGCCAGGTTTCAAGCCAAGAACTTACACACATTATCTTACCTACTTGTCACAGCAATCCCGTGAGGTAGATATGGTTGTTACCCCCCTCTTTTACAGATGAGGAAACTGAGGTTTAGAAGTGATACATGATTTGTCCAACACACAATTACTTCTAGGCACATAGGTAGACAGCACTGTTGCATGAAGGCTATAAGAATAAAATCCAAATTCAGAGACACTAATAGAATAAAAACTGTCTTCATCACTTGGAAATTAATGGAGTTCAACTAGCCCAGTGGAAAATATCATTATAATAAAAAAGTTAATATAAGAAATATTGATTTTAATACTGTCCCAGTAAAACAGAAATGTCAGGCAGCTTCTGAATGCCTATTCTGTACACACAACTCATACTTTTGTCTAGGTCCCAGCAGTGGGGATATTTGCCCAATAAAAGGCAGCTGTGTATTTTTTATTCTAATGTAAGAATCATATTGTTTTTCTTATAACTCAGACATTTAATAGACTAAAAATATTAAACCACTTGTACTTCCCTTTACATGTAAATTACAAAATAGATTAATGACAAGTGACTTTCCTTACAAGAGATGTGCCTTCCCATCAATCTAGCCCTTGGGAAATGGCAGCATCTTGACTCTTGAGGTTAGGAACAAACACAAGTTGACATAAAATGTGACCATTGGTGTGAGTGATTGATCTCTTTTATGCCCTCTTGATGAATCCATTTCTTTCCCCTGTAAATTTTAAACAGGAGAAGAAGTACCGTTTCCAGAACCAGGTGGACAAGATGAAAGAAAAGGTCAAGAATGTGGAGGAAAGGTCAAAGGAATTTGTTAACAGAGTAGAAGAAAAGAGTCATGACCTAATTCAGAAGTGGGAAGAGAAGTCAAGGGAATTCATCGGCAATTTTCTAGAATTATTTGGACCTGATGGAGCATGGGTATGTAATCCTGTCACTTGCCCTCACTTTATCCTCCTTTCATGGAGCTACTCTAGGAAGTCCTTATCTCAGTCCACTTTTTACCCTCTGTTTGGGTATGAGTCCAAATGACTTCAAGTCCTTGTTACTTCCTTATTGAGCTACTGTTTTGCTCCCAGTATGGCACCCAATAGCACCAGAAACCTGGCCTGATCTCTGTTTCTATTCCTTGTCCAGAGCTTGGAAGCCATATGGTTATCATTGAGTGTCTATTATTGCAGAGGTTAGTTTCATAGCTCCTCCCAGCCTCCCAGCTGGAGATGATGTAAAGCTTGAGGGTAAGCAAGAAGTGGGTCAGGGCAGCATGGAGCTTGTGTCACAGGACAAGACCCCTGGGCTCTTAGCTCAACCACAACCACTTATGTTTTGGGGAGGAGAATGCAAAAGAAATGTAGCTCCTCTGCCACCTTTTGTCACCAGAACCCTCCTCTTTCACTGGTTGGAAAAGAAAGAAAAGGTAGAATTTTGCCCTGCACCTGTACCCGTCATGTTTTTCCATGTCCTGTTTTTCCATGGTATGGGAATGACAAAAATCTTAGAGGGTGGAGGCCATGGTCTAAGAGAAAGAAAAATTTAGATTAGTCCCTTGCCTAAATTCTATAGTCAACTGTGAATGATAACTATGGAAAAGGAAATTCTGGAAACCACCCTGAACTCCATTGGTATTTCTATCGTGCATGCCCTTCCTGAGTAAGGAGCCAGCACTATCAGCAGAGTGGATGACAGTTCTATGAAACAGTTACTTTAAAGCTAACTTTCCTTTTGAAACAAAAAGAAATGATTCCATTTGAGTTCCCTGATTTTAAGTAGCCGAGATTTCCTATTATGATATGAGAAGTCTCTAACAAAAACCACTTCAACTTTTATTTTATTGATGGGTTGTCACTGCTGCCTCTGTTCATTTGAGCATGTTCATTATAGGATTATCTAAAAGTAAAACACTCAATTAGTAACTTTAGAAAAAAAGAACAATGTTCAGGAAGTTGGAAGAGATGGTTTGCTTAAGCCTAGCAGCCTCTAAGTGATTATAGAAGTGGGCTTTATGGGTCAGCCATGTCCCCTCTATCAGCTAAGACTGAAGGGGGAGGAAGTATGCGAGGGCTTCCTGAGCCCTTAGTAACTTCCAGAAAGAGCCAACAAGAGTGGAAGAGCCAGGAACTGGGCTTCTTTTCATTTTTTCATTTTCCTCAGGCCTGTTAAAAATTGTAATTCAGATGATTTAATTAATGGGATAGACAAACTGGAGGCTCTGATCTCTAGAACGTGAGTTCTGAAATTCACCATTTGACGTGTGTATCTTAGTAGTTTGCATTTCCACATCTAATTTTCAGACTCTGAAGAAACAGTGAGTGCTTTTTAATGAAACCATATAAGTATTCATTTGCTTACAGGGCTTCAGAACTAGGTCTCTGCTGAGAGGCCCTCAGATTGTAACCCAAGGGGTGGATGTTTTCTCCACCTGGGGTGAGCAAAGGCAGGAAAAGGATATAATTTCATAGAAACTTTATAGACCCTAGTCGTTTCAGGCTCCCAGTGAAGGTAAAATAGTAGCTGGAATTGTTCTTGGGGAGGCTGGTGACAGTGAGCTGAGGTGATTTTTAAGAAATGAAACCCAGCTTAGAGACTGGAGGTTTTTCTTTTTAAAAACTTGCTATTAGTGTCAAAACTGTTATTAACATTAATTTACTGTATCAGCCAGACTTAGACGTTACTTTTTTTTTCTGTTGACATTAAAAGTACAGGAATAGTTACAAGGATGTTAAGCGCCAAGATAAGTAATTTGCTTTTCATGAATATGCTATTATTATAATAATTCTTTATTTGTGAATTTGGGACTGGAACTCATTTCTTAAAATAGTGGATCTGCACTACCAGTAAATACAGTACTGATACAAATAACCCAAACTTATAAAGGCACAAAATAGAAAGATTTAAAGTACAAAATTTAGCACAATAGGATCAGTATGCAGCATAGTGTAGACCTTCAAGTGGTGCTCCAAAAATGTTTCTACATTGAATGAATGGATGAATGAGTGGATGTGTGAGGAAGAACCTTCCAGAATCTGAGGATATGTGAGGCCTACATGGTATACATATATATATATATATATATATATATATATATATATATATATATATATATATATATACATATCATTAGCTTTTCATCACTTATGGTTCAGGATACAGGGGTTAATTACAACTTGGTGTTTGGTGGATCATAGTCAATAGGCAGACTTGATTTTCTTGGCTCTCGACAATATTTTAAAATTTCTTTTAGGGTAACCATGAACTCTGTAGTTATCCATGGCTACATCATTCACTAGGGTTCTTTCTCCCCCTCCTCCCATCTGACTCACATGTTCATGCTATTCACATAGTCCCAGGGAATATTTGAATTTGCTTCTTATCCAATGTGGGAGGACACTACACAAGGATGTGAATAGGAGGAGGTGGGGCCTGTAGGGAGCCATCTTAGAGGCTGCCTGCCACAATGGCTTTTGAAATTTTGAAGCAAGCAATCTAGATTCTTCTTAATTGTTATAAGAGATTATTTGTTCTCACTAGTTCAGTCTGATTGATGAATTATCAGACCACAAGTCGTTATTATTCAGTTGTATCACTCTACTTATTTAACCACTTTTACTTAATCCTAAATAGTCTTGACTCCTATTTGAAAGGTAGCCCATAACCCAACCAGAGTGGCAAAGGGAAGAAGCCTTCTGTGTTAGTCAGCTTTGCATTATTGTAACAAAATACCTGAACCAATCAACTTAAAAAGAGGAAAGATTCATTTTGACTCACAGTTTTGGAGGCTTCAGTCTATGGTTGGCCTCATTGCCCCATTGCTTTTGGGCCTGTGGTGAGGCAGCACATCATGGTGGGAGTGTGTAGTAGAGGAAGCTGGGAAGCAAAGGGAGAGAGAAAGGGGCAGAGTGCCATGATTCCCTTGAAGAGTACACTCCGATTAATAAGAAGACTTTCCAGTCAACCTCAACTTTGAAAGTTGCTACCACCACCTTCCAATAGCGTTATAGACAAGAGACCAAGCATTTAACACACGGGGAACATTCCAGATCCAAACTATAGTACCTTTCTAACAGAGGCTCTTTATTACCTTTCTTTGGTGGGCATGTCTCTGCAAGATTGTCTCAGGAAGGGGATTTAAAGGAGCATAATTTTGAAGCTTTGTAGCCACGTTGGAGGTGATGCTGTTTGTCTCCAAAATGTCACTTAGGGTCAAGGAGTCTGGGTCAGGGGATGCTGGCCCAGCATTCAGGGTTTGCTTTGGACATGGGGTCTTCCTAGTGAAACTTTATTAGTTTTGTTTGACGCATCTAAATTCCCAGAGCAGACATATTCTATTTAAATGTTAACACCTTAACCACATGTGTTATTTTCTAAAACATTATGTATCATTTTGAATGATCTGCCACTATATTCCTTCTTGGCCCTGATAATAGAATTCTTTCCTATTTAAAATGAAGTGAGTCTATTTTATTTTACCATGAAAAGACGAGTCCTTTCCTTGAACACCAGGAGAGAAAGATCTTAAGTTGAGTACAAGATTTTAGTTCATTTTAGGCCAGTAAACTCCTCTTGCCCCAGACCAATCTGTCTGATAGATCCTATGCCACCTAGATGGTTTGTGCCATCTGATATATGAGGTTATATTTTAAAACACCAGACTGCGTGTCTGCTTATTTTTGGGTGGGAGGAGGAGAATAAATTTACATAATGTGAGGCCCACTGCTAATTTTTAAAAATTGTGGCAAATAGATACATAACATAAAATTTGCCATTTTAGGTACTTTTTTCAGTGCTGGAGACCAAACCTAGGGCCTTGTGCATACTAGGCAAGTACTGTACCCCAACCCCATTTTAATATTTTTGGTGGTAGTAGGGTTTGAACTCACAACCTAGCACTTACCAGCAGGTGATCTACCACTTGAGCCACATCCCCAGCCCTTTTTGCTTTAATTAATTTTCAAACAATTTCTCCCATTTTGCCCAGGCTGGCCTGGACTACAATCCTCCTATTTACACTTCTGCATAGCTGGGATGATGGGTACAAACCACCACACCTAACTTTTTATTTGTTGAGATAGAATCTCACTAACTTTTTGCCCAGACTGGCCTTGAACTGTGATCCTCCAGATCTCCACCTCTCAAGTAGCTAGGATTACAGGCCTGAGCCACTGTGCCTGATGCCCTTTTTAACTACTTTTAAGTGTACAGTGACACTACGTATGTTCAGATTGTTGTACAGCCATCACTAGCATTCATCTCCAGAATTTTTTTCATCATTCCAAACAGAAACCCTGCACCCTTTAAACAATTCCCTCCCCCCAGCTCCTGACAAACATTACTCTTTGTCTCTATGAATCTGACTACTCTACATACCTCTAATAAGTAGAGTCATACAGTATTTGCCCTTTTTTGTGTCTGGCTTATTTTACTTCACAATGTGTTCTAAGTTCACTCTTGTTGTAGCATGGATCAGTGTTGTAGCAGCCTTTTAAAGGTTGAACAATACTCCACTGTGCATATGCATGTACCACGTCTTATTTATCTATTCTTCTGTGGATGGATATTTGGGTCATTACCATCTTTTGACAGTTGTGAAGAATTTAGCTATGAGCATTGGTGCTATGATCTGTTTGGGTTCCTACTTTCAATACTCTTCGGTATGTACACAGATGTCAAAATGCTGGATCATATGGTTTAATTTTTTAGAGAACTCCTATACATTTTCACAGTGGCTGCACCATTTTACATTCCCACCAAAAATTTCCTTACAATACTTACCATTCTGTTTTATCTTTATAATAGTCATGCTCATTTTAGCCAGTGCCAATTTTTTTTTTTCGGCAGTACTGGGGTTTGAACTGAGGGCCTCACACTTGCTAGGCACGCACTCTACTACCAGTCCTGCCAGTGCCAATTTTTAAGACCATTTTTGATTTTGAGAAAAGAGATATAAAATGCAGTTTGTAGAACTGATTTGCTTTCCTACTTGGGACTTTTTGACTATCAGTTTGTTTTTTAAAAAATTATCTTTAAACAAAAGCACAAGTAAAGTATGAGGAAATATGAAAAACCTCTTACTAAGAAAGTGGTTAGTGACAAGAGAAGTGGTCATAAACAGACACTCACTTCCTGCTTGTGTGGCCTTGGGCAAGCTTTTTTTGCCTGTGTCACACCATCATAAATGAGAAAAGTAAGCTTGGCTTGCTGAGAAGATTCAATGGGTTCACACTTTAAAGCCCCTATAACACATGTCAGGCACTGGCTAAAGGTCAGTTGTTGATGGTGTGGTTTATTGATTTGGCCAGAACTGAACCACCACCCTTCTCTCTTCTTGATCTTACTTACCAGCGGTCCGAACCAGATTGTGCTAGGATTTTTTTTCCATTTCATTTTAGCAGATACGCCAGGATATATCTGGAACATGAAAACCTTTAAAGGCATTTGTCATGGCATTTACTGCCTCACCAGATATTAAGTACTTTTTAAAAAGGAAAACTTTGTAGGAGGGAAATAGAAAATTACTTTCATATGGACAGGACTGTAAATGGGATTATTTTTCTTGGGGGAAAACTTTATAAATGGAAACCTCTTAATACAGTCAAAGACTGAATTTAAATACCTTTTCTCTTTGAAAATGTCATGCCATGGTCTTCATTATTTGTTATATTTCTAAAGTGCTTTTCTTCCCAGGAAGCTCATTATAAACTGTCTCCTGACCGAATTTAATTCAGCTCCTTTGCAGGGGAACCACCCTTGAAAGTGCACCAGAAACAGATCAGAGAACCTGCAAATGGAGACCCAGAACTGTTTTGCATGGATATCACATTTTATGAAGTGCAACACCATTGTTTATCATTAGGGATTCAAATTCTTTCATCCCTTTAGGCAGAATATTCTCAGTTTTGAGCTTGACTCAAAGTAGAGTAGACAAGATGTAGATTTCTTAGAAAGTGGTCTTCTAATGGAAATGCTGACAATCCATTAACAGCAGGAGGGCTAATGGCTGCCACTAAAAATATACTTAAAGATTACAGTAATAAAAACACATATTTTAAAGTGCCTGCTAGAAGTTCAAGGATTTTTTAATGTTGCTGTTAATAATAGGCCACCCAATCCTTTTGGCATTTGACTTTGTCTCATAAGTGGGCTTAATTCAAGGTAATGCTGTTGTACTGCACTATTTTTTCCTGTTTGATTTGAGGGGGGGTTGGATGTCTTTTTGGCAGAATTATCAGTGCCCTTAATGGAAGGTAAATAATTGGTGTATTCGAAGACGTGGAATTTTTAAGTCGGGAAAGAATCTTAATGATCATCTCTTTTATAACTGCTAGAGAAAAGTTGAGACTCTAAAAAGTAATAGGCTAGAATTTAGAAATGAGTGCGTGGGGGAATTAATGATGTGCCCAAAGTCTTAATATTTTCTCACCTATGTCATTATTGCAATGCCTGCCCCTCCACTGGATCTCCCTGTCCAGGTTACCTGAGTTTCTTTCTTCCTACCATAATACTTTTTCATGATGGTAACAGCAGTACACAGCCATCCCTTGGCATTCACAGGGGCTTGGTTCCAGGACTTCCCTCAGGTACCCAAAACCATGGCTGTTCAAGTTCCTTGTATAAAATGGTGTACCATTTGCATTTAACCTACATACATCTTCCTGTATACTTTAGAACATCTCTAAATTACTTAAAATACCTGACACAATGTAAATACTACGTAAATAGTTGTTATGCTATATTATTTAGGGAATAATGACAAGAGAAAAGCCTGTACATGTCCAATACAGATATAATTTCTGATCTGCAGTTGGTTGAATCCCTGGATGTGAAACTCGCAGATTCAAAGGGCCAAGTACATTCATTATAAGCTACTAGAAAGTAGACCAAACACCAAAAATCTCTTGCAGACTAACCACCCAGATTTTTTTCATTTACATTATATACATTCCTTCAACAACACTGAAACCATAGACACCATACTATTCTAATTTCTTTTATTATTGTTATTTTTTTTGGTGATCCTGGGGTTTGAACTCAGGGATTCACGCTTGCTAGACAGGCGTTTTACCACTTGAGCTGCTCCTCCAGGCCTGAGACCATATGATTCTAAAATCATTTTGACTTTGCAGTCACTCACGAGCATGTTTTCATATTATTAAATATTCTTTAAGAACCTGATTTTCATCAGCTGCCTAGTATGTCATCTCGGAGTTACATAAGATCTCCCTAACCTATTTAGGGAATTTGCAGTTTTGTTTGTTATGACACTGTAATGAGTATCCGTAGACACAAACAGTATTTACTTACATCTCTGACTTTCTCTCCAGTTAAAAATAGCTTTGCATCTATTGCCAAATTACCCCTCAGAGATGTACTGCTATGTTATCCACCTACCAGCAGTCACACGAGTGTTGTCCTATTCCTGCTCTCATCGACACTAGCCATTACAAATGAAAAAAAACCTTAGCAATCTGATTTATAAAAGTGTCTCATTTCAATCACTTACATTTGTTTCATTACTAGTGATACTGACATTTTTTAGTTCATTTATAAATTTCTTTTGTGAATTCCCTCTACATGTCATATGCCTTTTTTCATTGAGTTACTTATTTATTCAGAGACAGGGTCTCACTATGTAGCCCAAACTGGCCTCAAACTCATGATCCTCCTGACTCAGCCTCCTGAGTGCTGGGATTACAGGCATGTACCTCCATACCTGGCTTATTAAGGTTTTTATCTTTTTCTTTTTTCTTTATAAACACGTTTATATACCAAGATTTATAATTTGTAGTTTTATTAATTTTTTTGTTGTGCAGGGGGTGGAACCCAGGGCCCTGCATGTGCTAAGCAGGTGCTCCTCCATTGAGCTAAATACTCAGCTCCTGTAGACAAATGTTAAAAAAATATTTCCTGCCGGGATCACTCATGGCTCCCAACATTTGCCCCTGATTTTTTGTTTGCTTTTTATCTTATTTCATGGTGCTTTTTGTTTGTTTGTTTGGTTGTTTGTTTCAGTGCTGGGGATCAAACCCTCGACCTTGTGTGTGCTAACCATGCACTCTACCACTGAGCTACACCTCAGCCTTCATGGTGTTTTGTGAAGTACAAATGTTTTAAATTTCTGTGTAGTCAAGCATCAATCTTTTTGTTTATAGTTTTTCTTCACTTTTATGTTCACACCCAGAGATATTTCTAAAGCACAAATCTTATCATACTCTCCTATGATTAAAATCTTCCCAGGGCTCTTGGGGAGGCTGTCTAGCCTCATTCTGGTGCTCCAGGCCCAGGCTACTGCCACCCCATGGGCCCTTGGGGTTCTAGTCACAGCAGCAACTTGTACTTAGTACTCTCTAGTAAGCTGGTCCTTCTCCCAGCAATCCCCAGGGTCCTACCCCACAACTCTAACCTCTCTTCCTGTACATTGTCAAAGATCCAGATCAGACAGTGAGTCTTATTGTCTGTACCTTCAGACTATAGCCAGATCATATACTATGGGATTCCATTTCCATGACATTCTGGAAAAGGCCAAACTGGAGGGACAGAAAACAGGTCTGTTGCCAGAGGCTGGGAGAGAAGGTGACTACAAAGAGTCATAAGGAAATTTGGGGGCTGATAGAACTCTCCTATGCTGCAAATGTGGTAGTGGTGGCACAACTGTATGTAATTGTCAAAACTCACAGAACTGTACGTGAAAATGATTGAGTTTATTATACCTTAATAAGAAATATGGCAAAAATATATTGGGAATCAAGCCTTTTCTCATCATCATTGCAGCTATCAGTGTGGGCCAGGAACCATCAAAATGTTGAATTCTTACTGTAATGGGTGCTTCACTGGTCTGGCTCTCTGCTTCTGCCTTTGCTTCACTGTAGTCAGAGAAGTTCTTGGAAAACAAAAAGCAAGTTTTGTAACTCCTGTGTTCCAGAGGTTTCCCTCCTCAGAGAAGGCCTGGTATGAAACAGCATCCTGTTATTTCTCAGGCCTGGTCTCCCCCAGTGCCTCCCACTCTCCCCTCCCCTAACTCTCTCCACTGCTGCCATGATAGCCTCTCTCCTCCCCTTGAATATGCCTTGTGTTTCTCCTCAAGGAGAAGTAAACACAAGGAGAAATAAATAGCCTTTTCTCAGTGAGGCCTTCCCTGAGCACCCCATTTGAAATTGTGGCCCCCTGCCCCCACCCCAATTTGCCATCCCTTTCCACCTTACAGTTCCCACAGACCACAGTTCCACCCTATGTCCTACATATTTTGTTGATTGTGTGATTCCTCACATCCATGAGGACAGAGGTTATCATTTTATTTTATCCTGTTCCATCAGTACCTATGACATTACTATTTTGCCCATCAAGTAAGAGATACGCAGTTCAATTATATAAGATTTGTAAGAAAAGAAGATAAGAAGAGTGCCCAGAACCAGCAGTGATTGTGATCTTGTATATGGTCATTTCACTGCCCCAGAATGTCACTCAGTTCCTTTCCACTCATAATCTTGAACAACATGGGATGTTTGTGGGTGTGTTTGGGGAGTGGCTCTCCATCCTGCTGCCACCTGAGATTGCTGTTAACAGATGCCTTCTCTCAAATTTCTCTCTAGAAACAGATGTTCCAAGAGAGGAGTAGCCGGATGCTACAGGCCTTATCCCCAAAGCAGAGCCCCGTGAGCAGCCCCACCAGGAGCCGGTCCCCTTCCCGCTCCCCATCACCCACCTTCTCGTGGCTCCCGATCAAAACCTCGCCCCCCTCCTCACCCAAAGCAGCCTCAGCCTCCATCAGCAGCATGAGTGAGGGGGATGAGGATGAGAAGTAAAGGTGGCTGGCAGGCAAGAGCCACACCACACAGGATGGGGAAGAGGGGGGTCCCAGAGATGCCTGGGTGGTGTTTGAAGGGGAAGAACTGTGGGAGCTGCAGCTCATCAGGGAGACCCTGAGCTCTGCCATGGGAAGGTGTTGGTTGGCCAGCTCTCCCTCACTCCCGACACAGCCTGCCAAGGGCTCAGCATGGAGGTTTCCAGCCAGACAACCTAGACCAACCTTCTTAGCCTCATCTAGAGTCACTCCACTCAACTTCTGTTAAGGAAAGGCATGGAGCACCCCAGGGAGACTCACATTGAGTGGAGTGACTTGTACTTGGGTCCATACACCCATCCCTATCAAGTGAACCACCCATGGAAGCGGCTGTCCCTCATCCTGCTACTTCTGGCTCTCTAAGGGCCTGCACGTTGTCTCCTAACACTCAAGCTCTGCCACAATACATTTACTTCCAGGTGAGGTGGCAAAGCACCTCCCAAATAGTCAAGTTACAGACAAATTCCAGCCTTCTCAGTTCAGCCACTAAGACCTGGTATTGCAATGCACCAGATCTTTCCAGTTCCAGTACTGTGGCTCAGAGACACAGCTTCACTTTGGGCCAGATATAAAAGGTAATCTGTTATGAACCTTAACTTCTCATTCAAAGGACAGTTTTGAACTCCACCTAAGGCCTAATGTGCTCCTGGCTGTATTTTCTCATCATTGGTGTGACTTCATTATTGTCCAGAAATTTCCTTAACCTGCGGGAACTTCAACAAGGAAAAACAAGGATGGAAAAAAAGAGGAGCTGCTTTGCTTTGACTCCAAGTGTGGCAGACGTAAACGTCTCCCAAAGCTTCTCCTTAAAGGATGCTATTATGGAATGGCTTTTTCCATTTCTGACCAGTTCACAGTTTCATAGACCTCAAGTAACAGTTTGATGTACCAAACATAGTATACCGATAGGGGGTGCTACCTGCACGTATCTGTTTTATGTATGCTCCAAATATGCCACCCCAGGGTGTATACCATATGCAATATGAATATACGGTGGGGACATTTTACCATATATTTCTCTCCTGCTCTCCACCCTAATGTCCTGCTGAAATCCTTGATCTAAAGAACCATCTGGTTCCCTTGTGACTTGGGCACTTTGTCAAAAGCTCATACCAGATTCCTTTAGAAATGTTTTGTCCCAACTAGGAGATTATTGTGTTCTCATGGCCTTCTGCACAATTTTTAGGTGAAAAGAGGTGCTGGAGAGTTTCACAAGAAGTGGTGTGCTCAGTTCTTTGAATGGTCTGGGTAGTATCATAGTGCTTTCTGGCCCCAGGTTTGCTGATGGGATGAAGACTTTAAGATCCCTGAAGAACTGCCCAAAGTTACTGCTCCCTAATCACCTGTAGGGAATGAGCAGGTACAGTCAAGGTTTAGAACCAAACTCCTGGGTAGAAGTAGATATTGCCTGGTTACCCTGGTAAAGTCAGACTGATCTGGGGCCTGACTGAGCAGAGGCCCCAGGCAGCAACTTATGGGCCCAGAACCTCTTGTGACAAAACATCCCTTTTCAGAGGCCTTTGGAACAAGCCTTCTGGAGACAACCAATGAAGGAAGGCGGCATGTCTGTCTTCCGTTTGTGTTGGGGTTGAACTACCTCCCTTCCCACCTGGAGATGGACGAGTGGTGTTGGTTGGAAAGCAAGACTCTGAGGCTAAGCTGGCTCGGAACATCCTTGTTCCTGGCACTTTCTGCAAAATTCCTTACAGCACTCATGCAGGACAGAGGGCTGGCAGGAATGTGACCTGTGAGAAGGAAAGTTTTTCCTGCAGTCAAGGCTCTGCCAGGGCATCACTCTCTGGAGAGGCAAGGGCTTTATTCTTTCATCGTGCCCATTTGTCCTCTGCCTTCCACTGTGCACCTGGGACAAACTGCATGTATTCCTGCCATTTTGGTTGATTGACACTTTGGGCAGTTAAAGAATGAGGAGATCAGCCGGCCAAGGGAAGGTGATGAGGACAAGGGAAGAGAAAAGAAGAAAAGAGGTTCCTGGAAAAAGAAAAGGAAGAGTATAAAGGAAAATCTGCTCCTTTCACCCATTTCAGGACCTCGTTTTTGTAGGTGAAGGTCTATCTTGGGGAGGCCTTTTAGTGCTCTGACTCCATGGCCCAGGGAAGGTAGATCCACTTTTACTTGAGTCCTGCTCTGGGACCAAATACTGTGGGGTTGAAGTATCAGGCTATTAATTTGCAGGCCTTACACACCGCACTGACAGGTGCCACCCATAGCTTCCAGTGATGGCAAATGACCAACACCAGTGGTGTCCAGGGATGGGCCAAAACAACCCATAAGTGGGTTCATAAATCTCACCGTCCTAACCTCCAACACTTCTTCACCTTCCTAAGGCCCCAAGTCTATTCAGAAGGAATATGGAGGATTGTGTAATCCAACCTTCGATTCTTCTTGGCTGTCTCTCAGTCTCTCCCAGCCCCTGCTCTGCCCCTTCCCCACATGCAGGAGAAGCTGTGGCTGCCATCCAGTCAACAGTCATGGCCAAGACTGAGTTAAGGCTTCAGTGGGGAAGCATACAATAAGTATGCCACAAGCTTTGAGAGGTAAGCAGAAATGACAAAAAGCAAGGAAAGAGATTCTCTTTGCTGTAGAAAGGGAAGGAAGCCTCAGACTGAGGAGGGCTAAAGGACAATGATTTAGGATTGTGGAGGGAGGTTATGAAGATGGGAGAAAATGGGACTGAAGTGGGGTGGGAGTGGATGGTAGGTATTTTCTGCTCCCTTTCTAGGGTTAACTTGACCCTTAACAGTTGAAGGAGGAATGAGTCTTGTCATGTACCTCAAGGTTAAGTAGATACTCATGCAGCAAGTGGGATCCCCACCTCCCACCTTCCTCATTTAAAAAGTACTCCCATATCCTCCTGATGGGGACTCTGAAACCAAATGTTGACCCCACTCCTCCAACTAAGCAACAGGGGTGGAGTTATAAAACGATGTCACATGGAATGGCCTGTTTCTGGCAAGTAAGCTGCTGTGTGCCACGACCTTCCAAAGGCAAAAAGACAAGCCAGCCTCATGAGAAGCAAGCCACAGACATGGCCTGGCTTCTGAGCTGCTCTGGGTGGAAGAGACACAGAGGCAGGGTTTCAGTCTTGCTCTGCACCTTAGACTGTTACATACTGTGAGTCCATCTTTTGGTGGGGTGGGGGCAAGAAGAACATAGGCTTATTTTCTCTCCATCTTCAGGACTTATTTTAGTACCCATCATATCCCAGGGAGAGATGCGAGATGGTGTGAGTGGCTCAGCTGAGTATAGCAGAGATGTACCTCAGCATTAGTCCTGATCATCTGCTTTTCAAAAAAGAAAATAGCTCATGAGGCATTTTCAACTTCTCTTCAGACTCCTCTCTCGTTTTTTGTGTGTCACTGCAAAGTGTCCGGGGACAAAGCCATAAGAAGAGCATACATACTTAAGACTGCTGTACATATAAGACAAGACGACAACAACTCATCTGGGTTAAAGCACGATCTTATGCCCAAGCATTTGCTCTGGTGCTGAATAATGCAAACTACTGGAATCAGCCCCTCCTCCCCACACCCTCTCCCACATACCCAAACAGAACACAGCATTCTCAACTCATTTATAAATAAATGGATGCAGAATTGCACTTTTGCCTGTCAGTTTTTTTTGGCGTACTGGGGTTTGAACCTAGGGCCTCATGCTTGCTAGGAAGGTGTTCTACCACTTACTTGAGTCATGCCCCAGTCCGATTGTGTTTTTTAAGTGTGTCACTATTTAGGAGCTCTAGTTCAATGTGGAAAAATCCGGGCACTGTAGCAGCTGTCCTAGTGCACTGGCTGGCACTGGCTTGGCCGTCAGAAGGATCTGATTCTGCACTGTGCCAAACGGGGACAAGTCATGGACTCACTTCCTTTGTGACCCTGGCCAAACCACTTCACTTCTCTGGCCTCGGAGTCTGCTTCGTAAAATAGGAGTGGGAAGTGAAGGAAATGGTTTCCGAGGTCTCTTTTGCCTATAAAGAAAGGTGGCTGGATTTATGAGGCAGCCTGAATCAACCCCAGGCTTCTCTAGGCTACCATGCCATCACTGAGTGACCAGGACAAAGTGTTTGCCTCTCACTGATTGGGAAGCTGAAGCAGTGGTCAGTAGTCTTCCAGTTCCCTGGGGCCTCTACCATGGGCAGCATTGATGACCTCACTTTCACAGTTGAAGCATCAAGATAAAAGGTTTTTGGGTTCCATCCATCTTTCTCATCTTGCCACTTGATGGAATGTTTCTCAAGTGTACCTAGACTTTGGGAAGTGGCCATTTCAACCATTTTTCCATCTATGGGAAAAAGCTGCTTTGATCTGTTGAAGACAGACAGATGGAGGTGGAGGCGCCAAACCAGGTCCCTAAATGTCAACAGAGAAGGCAGATGTCAATGTCTCAAGAATTGTGCACATCCCCCACTCACTGAACTTAGATTTCATTAACTCTGTAGAGGGTTAATGCTTTGAAATGACTGTAGCAGTAGCAATAGTCTGGGCTGTAAAATAAATAAAGCCAGGACTGTAGTCAGCAAGAGAAGACATTTTAAGGCAGAATGCCTATTTTTCGTAGACTACATTACTTGACTTTGCCACACAGATCAAACACATTTTTGACAGGCTGTATTTAAAGCAACTGTTATTGGTTTCTTCTTGACTTTTATGATACCTTAGACATGTTCTTGAGGAAAAAACTATGGTGTGATAAAACTTATATTTAAGAACCTTGATATTTGACCCAAAGAGCATTAACCTTTGTTAACAAACAGAACTCTTGGGGAAAAGGTACACTATTAAAAATATTTACACACACACACAGTCCTCCTCTTGCATTAAAGTCCTCATTGACTACTGGATTAGAAGGTGTAAGGAGAGACTTCTCCAGGTGTTCAGCAGGAGCTGTTAGATAAGATTCCCATGGAGACACTTTTCAGACAGAGTGTGACAATTCAGACACATCAAAGTGTACCCAGTAATCAAATTCTTTAAGAAAGAATCACGTGCCCTAATGGTGGTGGTGCAGTATACCAGTATACCAGCACTCTGGAGACTGAGGCAGGGGGATCACAAGCTCAAAGTCAGCCTGGGCTACATAGTGAGCCCGTCTCAAAAAATAAAATAAAAACAAACAAGTGAACAAAAAGAAACTACCAGGGAAAACACAAATAACCAGTAAAATCTGAACGTATCATTAAGAGCACAAATATCTGCAGATGCCAGCTGGGGCATATGTGAAGCCTTTTCTGCACTGCCATAACTGTATTCTAGAAAATACACCATATTGGCTGAATCTCAGCTGAAGGTAACCAAATGTTGGAAACCTGAGAAATCTTCAGAGTATGGTTGACTTATACTATCCCCTAATAAGCAATTTCTATTCTTAACTTCATCATCTTTCTTGATTGGGGGTGGAGAGAAGAAACGAATCTGTAAGGTTACTGCACTCTATTCATAAAAAGCAGAGTTCTGATGAAGGGATTAGAGCCAACTAAAATATTTGCTATGTAACCTTTCATTTAAAAATT